AATCATATCTCAAAAACATAATTAAACATAAGTAATTTATTTTATATTATTTTGCAGGTGGAATATTTTACAACTAATAAATTTTAATTGTCAAAATTGCAGACCATGTTCAGACCATCGGTTGGTTTCAGAAAATAATGAGAAATTGCATAAAACTGTCAAAAAGACGGAAATACTGGGAATTTGGCCATTGGAGTAAATGCAATACCATTTCATCCTCTAATATACGAGCTGTGCTTATTGTTACTTTAAAGTATATAATTTTTTACAAATTTTTCTTAGATGTTGAACGAAAAAGAAAGATACGCTTTTGAGATATATGATTAAAAAACTACTGGTTTTCGAATTTTCTGAATTTTTTCCAATAATTATTCTAGTTTTAACACCGGAATCGTGTTCGGGGAAAAAAATTACATCGAAAAATATATTTTTGGGTATATCTTTGGATATCTAGAGCCCGATATGTGAGAAAAGTGATAAAATACTGGAAAAAATGTTTTTCTTGAAACAAAAATTTTGTAACAATTTGTACCTAGAAGGTAAATAATCATATTTTATAGTATACAATCATCATCATCAGTCTGACTTTACAAAACTGCATGGGTCCTAGCCTCCTCAAAAATTTCTCTTCATTTCTCCCTATCCATTGACATTGTCAGCTAGAAGTTCTAAAACGCTGCAAATAGCTCAGAGAAAAATGGAAAGATCAATGCTGGGTATATCGCTTCGTGACCGAGTTAGAAATGAAGACTTAAGATGAAGAACAGGAGTTACCGATGTAATTTCCCGAATTGCCACACTAAAATGAAACTGGGCCGCACACGTCACCCGAATCTCAAGAACATGTCAAGAAATTGGATGAAAAGTGTTTAAGACAGAGCACAATGGACAAAAATAAGGGAGGTCTATGTCCAGCAGTGGACGCAAAGGACTGGGTGATGATGATGTCCCTATCCATAGACTTTCTCCGCGAAGCACGTATACCCATATTTCTCATGTCTTTATCGATGCTATCAAGGAAACTTGTTCTGGGATATTTTCTTCTTCTCTGACCAATGAGTCTATTAAGGAGCGTTTTTCTAGCTGGGTCATTCTGTTCCATTTGCGTTACATGTCTTATACACCTCACACTTTATATCTTAACGTTGTACGATATTAGGTTCCTGGTATATTCTAGAAAAGTATTCCAATATTCTAGAAAGTTCAAAGTAGTATTATCTTCTCCACACTCCATTGTCATTCACTGCTCCATAGATTCGCCTTAGTAATTTTCTTTCGAAACATCCTAACATGTTTTCATTATGTTTTGTTAGAATCCAGGTCTCTGAACCATATGTTAGGACTGGGAGTATTATTATTTTATAGAGTTTTATTTCTGTATTTCTCGATATAATTGTGGATTTAAGGGGAAGATTGAGCCCAAAATAGCATCTGATAATCGTGCAAAATATGCGGTTTATCTTTGCGGTAGTATTATTTTTAGTGTTCAGGAGCGCGCCCAGGTATACAAATTCGTTTACACCTTCAATGACTTCGTTTTCTATAACAAGTGGTTGTAGGATTTGTGGTTGCGTACTTATTTTCATATACTCCGTTTTGATGGTGTTTATTATTAAACCCATTTTTGTAGCTGATTCTTTTAATGCTACATACGCTTCTCATATAGCGTTTTCCGTTCTCTCAACAATATTGTATTATCAGCATAGGCCAGAATTTGCACTGATTTATTATATATTGAACCAGTGCTTGTGATATGTGACATACGTATTACTTTTTTCAGAGCCAGATTGAACAGTATACAGGAGAGAGGGTCTCCCTGTCGCATTTGTTTTAAAAGGTTTAGACAGTTCTCCCTGAATTCGTACGTTCAACCTTTTGTTAGAAAAGTTGAATGTTAGTTTTGTTAAATTTATCAATCGATTTAGTATTCCTAGCTCTTTCATTGCTTTGAACATTTCTTTTCTATTCACAGAGTCGTAGGCTGCTTTGTAGCTATGACACATATGTGGTTATATATAATATAAATCTATAAATATGTGGTGAGTATCAATGCCATATTCCAGTGTTTTTTTTTCAAAATTTCTTTCAGGGTTGCAATCTTATGGATTGTCGATTTACCACTTCTGAAGCCAGCCTGGTATTTTTCCTTTTTTGTCTTTGGTGCAAAGTATTCCAATATTCCAATTCTTGGGGAGGAATTTCTGTGTCCATATTTCTTTTATAAGCTTCTGTAATGCCATTATGGTATCGTGGCCGCCTTCTTTATATAGTTCAGCTGGGAGATTATCTCCGGGTGATTTGTTTTTGGCTAGCTTTTTAACTGCATCTTTAACTTAAAAAATCGTTAATGGTCCTTCTTCTCCCTCGTCTGTTCCCCTTACCTCATATCTTTCATCTTTCAGGTTTTCTTCTTCTTACTCTATATTAAGTGTTTGGTATACTTATTCCACCCATCAATTCAATACATCTTTCCTTGTTGTTATTAAGTCGCCATTCTGACTTCTGCATTGTCTTGTGGTTGCCTTGAATTCTTTTCTGTTGATGGTAACTTTCTTATAGAATGCTCTGAATTCTTTCACTCTGTTGAGGTTTTCTGTATATTTAGGTAAGTTCCCTATTAAGGCCGTTTAGTTTTTTTGTGTATCTTCTTTTCTTTTCTCTTTGTCTGATAATTCTCCACAGTTGTTCTAGTTTATCGGGTAAGCATCTTTCTGTAGGCTTGATTTTTTTCTGTTGTTGTATTCTACATTCATTTTCAAACCAATGATTTTTACGAGCACAAATTTCTGTTCCTATATCCTCTACTATTGCTTATACTATAGTAGAGGATATAGTAGAAGCAATAACAGAAGCTCAAAAGAAATGCTGTCCAAAAAGCGTGAAAGAAGAAAAAAATAGTCTGGAAACACAGAAAAACATGGAACACAGAAGAATACTGAGAAGCGACGAAAATTCTAGTAACGACGATATAAATAGAATGAACAAGGAAGTATCAAGAGAAATCAGAAAAGACTTAAGAAAATACAAAGATGAGAAAATCATCAAAACCATTGAGGAAAATAAGAGTATGAAAATAATGAGACGCAATCTCACAAATGGAAATAAACAAATAGTCAAACTCAAGGATAGAAATGGCAACATCACATCAAACAGAGAACATTTGTTACAAATTGTGGAATTATTATATGAGACATTATATAGCAATCAATCGACTCTAGATATATAGTCGAATATCAACAGAGGAAGGTTCAAAATCAGGGTTCCGAAGATATTCCAGAAATCTTCTTGTACGAAATTTACAAGGCCCTAAAAAAGATGAAGAATAACAAAGCTCCGGGGAAGGACGGTGTCGTCACGGAAGCGATAAAGATAGGAGGCTCAGTACTGATAGCCAAAATTCACAAGCTCATTAAACTATGCCTATGGAATCTAAATATCCCAACAAAGTGGAATAATTCAGTAACTGTACTCTTACACAAGAAGGGAGATAAAGCAGACCTGGAAAGATACAGATTATTCAGTCTCCTTAACCATCTTGATAAATTATACACCCGAATAATAACGAATAGATTAGAGACAAAGCTGGATTTCTACCAACCTCGGGAACAAGCTGGTTTCCGCCCTAATTACGGCACAAACGATCACCTGCAGTGCCTAAAAACCCTAATAGAAAAAACTAACGAATATAACCGTCCCTTGACTTTGATATTTGTAGACTTTAAAAAGGCGTTTGATACAGTGCAACTACCGTCCATTTTAAGAGATATATAAAAAAATATATATGAAAATGCCACAACAAAATGCCTAAGTCTATATTGTGCAACTAATAAAATAAAGATAAAAAGCGGAGTCAGGCAAGCTGATACCATGTCACCAAAGCTGTTCATTACCGTTCTTGAGTATGCATTTAAAAGACTAACATGGCAACAGAAAGGAATATCCATCGATTGAGAAAGATTAAACCATCTACGTTTTGCGGAAGATATCGTGCTTCTGTCAGATAATCTGGGAGAGATCAAAGACATGCTCCAAGAACTGAATGACATACTACAAGAAACTGGGCTGGAGATAAATTTCGAGAAAACCAAAATGATGACCAATATGGTTCCCAGCGAAGAGATACAGATCAATAACAACAAGGTAGAATTAATCGATAAATACACATACTTGGGTCATGAAATTAGAATAACCAGAGACAACCAAACCTGCGAGCTAAATAGACTAATCATATTGGGATGGGCGGCATATGGACGGATGAGAGACATTTTTAAAACAAATATCCCAATTCACCTTTTAAATGGAAAAGGATGGCATTTAACCAATCCATCTTACCAGTCTTGACCTACGGAGCAAAGACCTTAACTTTAACGAAAGCTACTGCCGATAAACTGAGGGTAACACAAAGGCGAATGGAGAGATCAATGCTGGGCCTGACCTTGAAAGATCGCGTAAGAAATGAGGAGATACGCCGACGAACTGGCGTAGACGATATTATACTGCGAATCAATAAACAAAAGTGGAGGTGGACTGGACATGTTGCTAAAATGGAAGACGGAAGATGGACGAAGAGATTACTGGAGTGGAGAGCAAGAGCCGACAAGCGAAGTCGAGGCAGACCACCCACCCGATGGACCGACGACCTAAGGAGAATAGAAACAAACTGGATTGCAGCAGCTAGAGATAGAGAGAACTGGAGACGTTTGGAGGAGGCCTATATCCAACAATGGATGTGAAAATTCGGCTGGATGATGATGATGATAACCTCTTTTGCTACTGCTTCAACGTTTTCCTGTATTCTGGTCTAGTAAAAGTCTATATCTATCTGGGCTACTTCATTTACATTTTGATTCCTTAGCCTGTTGGTGATGTTTTCCAAGTAGAGAATACCCATGTAAAATTTAATCAAATCGGGAGGGATCGCCTGAAAACCTTTGCATAGCTGACGTGGAATTTCCCTGGTTTCAGTATTTTTTTATTATATATTGAACGTTTTTTCTTACGAATCTCCAATAAAAAGAACTCTGGTTGGATCTGTAATCTTCAATCTAGCTTGTATGACTTTGCTGTAGTGTTGAGATGGTTTTGCCATTGTTATAGGTTGTTTGCCGCTATAATCTTCCAAAGCTTTATAAACATAGTGACAAGCTAAAAACAAAAATTTTATGTAAGAAAAATTAAAATATTAGTACGAGAATTATTAATAATATTAAATTGAATGTAAGTTACACTAGGATAAGAGACTTACAAGAGAATCTCTGCCAATAAGCTATCATGATAGAAAACTTAGATGAAATGCGCTGTGTAACACCCAGAGGGGATTTTGGGGGTTAAAACCCCCTTCCCCCAGGGCATGTAAAGTAAAAAATGTATAATGAATAGTAGTAAAATATAACTTATCTTTCACACAAAATACAAAAAATCCAAAACGCTAATTGAATAATTAAATTACCACTTTAAATATGTAGAATACAATAATTATTGCATAAATACACAATATTTAATACACAATAACTAATAATATTTTTCATTATATTTAGATATAGATATCTAATATTATAATAGATAATATTAATAAACTTAATAGATAATACGCTACCTGACAAGAGACTTCAGAGCCAGAACTTGGGCCATTGAAGATAACACTGGAACCCTGAGAACAAACAGAGAAGACATAGCAGAGACATGGAGATCGTATTGCAGGGACCTATATAAAGTTAATCAACGCCAAGAGCCTGTTAGCCAAATCTCTGACGAGGTGGAAGAAGAACCTGATATACTCGAAAATGAAGTAAGATATGCTATCAACAAGCTCAAATATAACAAAGCACCAGGTCCAGATATGATAACAGCAGGAATGCTTAAAGCCACAGAAGAAACCGGCGTAAAGTTACTTCATTTACTCTGTAACCAAATATGGCATTCCAAACAATGGCCTGAAGACTGGATAAAATCTACAATAACTACCATACATAAAAAAGGCAGATTCCATAAATGCGACAATTATAGAACTATCTCTCTTATATCCCATGCCAGCAAGATAATGCTACATATAATCAATGAGAGACTGAAAACATTCCTCTAAAGAGAAATTCCACAAGAGCAAACTGGATTTATCAAAGGTAGAGGCACTCGAAAACAACTGCTGAATATAAGACAGATAATCGAGAAATCTAGGGAATTCAACATCCCACTATACATCTGTTTTATAGATTACCGTAAAGCGTTCGACAGGATCAATTGGAGGCACTTATGGCGAATACTAAAAGAAGTAGGCGTACCACAACATCTAATTACGCTTGTAACTGAACTATATGAACACACTACTGGATCAGTTAAAGTACTTGACACACTTTCGAACGATTTTCATCTAGAACGGGGTGTCAGACAAGGATGTATACGGGGTGTAATGTCTCCACAATTATTCAACATATATGGGGAGTATATTATGCGAAGAGCACTTGAAGGATGGAAAAAGGGCATCTCAATAAATGGTTATAAACTAAACAACCTACGTTCCGCAGATGACACAGCCCTTCTTACAAATAGTCAAGCAGAGCTGATAGAACTTATACGACTGATCGAAAATGAAAGTCAAATATTTGGCCTGCAATTAAACATATCAAAGACAAAGATTATGATAGTGGACAGACTACACAACAATCATCCACACATAACCACAATTGACCGGTTCGAGGTTGTGAGCTCATACTTATATCTGGGATCATTAATCACAAACACAGGGTCATTACAAGAAGAGATTAAACGTAGATGTGATCTAGCAAAAGTTGCCACAGCAAAAATGACCAAAATATGGAAGGACTGTCAAATTTCAAGAGCGATAAAGATGAGGTTGATCAACTGCTTAATGTTCCCAATACTGACCTACGGATGTGAATCTTGGACTCTGAGACAATCGGAGAAAAAAAAGATAGATGCCACTGAAATGTTCTGTTGGAGACGAATGTTACGAATTCCTTGGACCGACCGTAGAACAAATAATTCAATTTTAAGAGAGCTAAAAGAGCCAACGACTCTCTAGTAAAGTCCATCTCCAACAATTAAAATATTTTGGGCATGTTATGAGAGCAAACACAGAAAACATGGAAAGACTCATAATGCATGGAAAGGTAGAAGGCCGAGGATCACGAGGAAGATCCCCAACAAGATGGATAGATCAAATTACAGGAATATGCCAAAGACCTATGCATGAATTATAAGAAATGACCAGAGACAGAGATCTCTGGAGACGGACAATACACGACATCACGTCGACCACTACACTCCCCCTGGGGGGTCAGGATTGAAGAGAGAGGGAGAGATCTTATATTAGGCTTATCACAAAAGTAGACAGAACGAGTCTGTTGCGAGTAGCATGCGCCTACAAGGCTGTATCTGCGGAGGCCTTGTGGATTATCACGGGTTGTGTTGATTTCAATGTGTTAGCAGTAGAAAAGAGACATCTCTATGAGAGAAGAGAGCATTTGACAACAGCTATAAAAAAATATGAAAGGAAAAGATCAATGAAAAGATGGCAAGAAGAATGGAACAGCAAGGAAGATGTTGCCCAGTGGATCAAGATGCTAATCCCGTGCCTAAGGGACTGAGTAGATTGTCTGTTTTAGGGCTTATCTTCATAGGTTCAGATATACAGATAAATGCCTATACTGCGAATATTCCGACATTGTTACTCATACAATGCTGGAGTGTAAGAGATGTATAGTGCAGAGAAATAAAATGTATAAAGAAATAGGTAGAACCCTGTGACTGCAAGAGAGATCATCGTGAAGATGGCGGGAAGTACGGAAGGGTGGAATTGTGTTCACAATTACATCCAAGCAGTCATTAAAAAGAAAGAAGAAGGAGAGAAACAATAACCGGACCAATGACAGAGATAAGATCTAATTACTATTTTAATAGCAATAAGCCGCAATTAAAGGTTAAAATAAGTTTATTGACGTTTGAATATTTGATCTTTGATCTTGCGCTTAACTTGTTAACACTCCAAAAATTAATAGAAAGAAGCAGAGCGGTTGGTACGCTAGCCTTGATTGATCTAGAAAAGGCGTATGATACAGTTCCAAGACTTAAATTGTGACAAGCTTTACAACAACTCGACATTAGTCCATACCTTTTAGGAATAATCATAGAAGTAGGTTCACAGGCATAACACTACTTACCTAACAATCGGAAATAGACTGTCAGAGCCAATAAAGGTAAATAAAGGACTAAAACTAGGACGCAGTATTCCACCCTTACCGTTTATTTATATATTGAGGCAGCCCTCGAAAATTGAAAAAATCACAACCAAACAATGGGAATCCCCATTGAAAATGACGTACTGTTCTGCCTAAACTTTGCGGATGACCAAGTCGTCCAAACTCAAGATTCTTATGATCTAAAATTTATGATAAAGCGTCTATACAGAGAATAAGTAAAATGGGGGTTACAAGTCAGCATAAAAAAACAGAATATTTAGTTATAAATTCAAATACAAGGTTTGAAGTGTTGATAGACAAGGACGTGGAAATCAAACAAGTAGAAAAATTCAAATATTTAGGTGCACTGATTGCTAAGAACGGCTTGGGAGAAATCGAAATTAAACAACGAATTGATCAGGGACGTAAAATTGTAGGATGTCTGAACTCCTTATGTTGGGATCGCAACATTTCCAAAAGAAAAAAAAAAGAATAGGGCAAATCATGGTTGAATCAGTTCTTTGTTATAGCTCTGAAGTATGGACAATTAATGTAGACCTGAAAAAAATATTGTTGCCAGTTAAAGTGAATTTTTTGAGGAAAGTGCTAGAACATCAAGGCAGGAAAGAAAGACTAACGAATCTATAAGAAATAACATGAATGCTACAGAAACGGTCATTGACAGAATAGAAAGAAGAGGTTCAAAATGGTTTGAATACATTAAGAATACCTGACGAACTTTGGCCCCAAAAACTTTACAAATGAAAGCACCCTGAAATAAGAAAAGAGGTAGCTCCGACGCTTATGGAATGAAGTAATTAGAAGAGCGATGGAATCGAGAGGTGCCGAGGATGAGCATGCCTTGGATCTGAAGAATTGGTGGAGGAGAACAAGAATACGGCAATACCCGTCTCCAAAATGTATTGTATTTACAAGTTGAATCAATGTCAAACATGAATAAACTTATTTTAACCTTCAATTGTGGCTTATTCTGATTAAAATAATAATTACTTTAAAATTCCACAAGAAAATAGCTTAAGAACAATAGATAACGGAAGGGAGTGTTTCAAAAATGTCATCAGCCTTACAGCGACCACCCCACTTTCGGAGTACAGTACGTGCTACAGTCTACTGCGCACAAGTAAGAGAACGTGGTTTTAGTTGGTAGGCAGGATAATAGATCTGTCTTTAGTGGTGGTAGCAACTGAATGTTGGTAGAACCCAAAATGGCGGTAGCAAAGAAAAATTTAAACACTCCCCCCACAATCAGACAAATTCCAATCACCAATTTTTCGGTGGATAATTGAAGCTGGAACTAAGAACGAACGATATTCAATTGTAGCGGCAAGATTAGTCGTTTATATATAAGGATAAAAGTTTCATTGGAGAATAGAATGGGGAGAAAAAAAGAAGTTATACGACATGCAAATAAATGAAAAAATTAGGGCAGGAATAAGAAGTCATATAACTAGTCCTATGCCCAAAAGTTAAAAAAAGAATATTGTTAACACATTTTGTATTGATGTTGTATTCAAAAATATAAACAAAAAAAAACAATTAAAAAACATTAGTTTTAACAAGCAATTGATAGTAAAGAACTCGATATTTACTTTAAAGCCAAAATTCCATGAGTATGTCTTGTATTATTTGCTTTTATTCTATAAATATACTCTATATAAGTAATGAACACAATAGACATTCTAATTATTTCGTATTTCGAAAAAAATACATGTTTAAACTTTAGGGGGAACAGGATTTTATGTAAACGAAATTTAATATTTGACAAAGATTTTTCTCAAAAAAAAACTAAGATTTAAGTGTGGTCGCAAATCTCATTCAAATTATGTGAAAATAATATACCAAGATACTTAAAAGTTTCTTCATAAATTGAGTACAAACTAAATAGAAAATTTATCAATAAATTGTAAACATGTAATATCAACGTTTTCT